CAGCAGATCGCTCTGCAGAGCGCCCTGTGCCAGGTCGGCTCGCTGCTCCAGAAGTGGGGTCGAGATGGCGTCAGCGTAAGTAGGAGTCTAAAGGAGGACTGGAAGAATAGCAGAGGAGTCGGCCTGAATGCTAAACTGGAGAGAACAGCCCAGACTTGTTTTCCAAGCCTCGTTCATTTTGTTGCATCATGCTAGATATTGGTCAAGAAAGAGATCGGTTGATATAAAATAAGCTTTAAACACGGCTGTTTTCTCTTCCCCCAGCGTGGCGTGCCCCGAGGGCAAGGCAGGGTTGCGGAGGCAGCTGCTTGCGACGCGACGTGTCGGAGGGCTTGCTGGTGCTGCAGATGCATGGCATGGGGTTTGCAGCACCCCGTCGCAGGAGCATCTCCTGGGCTTTGCAGGAGGAGCATGGCATGGGGTTTGCAGCACCGCACCACCGGAGCGTGGCACAAGGTTTGCAGCAGGAGCGTGGCGTAGGTTTGCGCACCGCGTTGCAGGAGCGTCGCATGGGGTTTGCAGCACCCCGTTGCAGGAGCGTGGCGTGGGATTTGTAGCACCACGTCACAGGAACATGGCGTGGGGTTTGCAGCACCCCATTGTGGGAGCATGGCACGGGGTTTGTAGCACCACGTCGCAGGAGCATGGCACGAGGTTTGCGGCAGGAGTGTGGCGTGTGGTTTGTAGCACCGCGTCGCAGGAGCATGGCACAAGGTTTGCAGCAGGAGCGTGGCGTGGGTTTGCAGCACCCTGTTACAGGAGCATCGCATGGGGTTTGCAGCACCCCATTGCAGGAGCGTGGCGTGGGATTTGCAGCACTGCGTCGCAGGAGCATGGCATGGGGTTTGCAGGAGGAGTATGGCGTGGGATTTGAAGCACCCCATTGCAGGAGCATGGCACGGGGATTGTAGCACCACGTCACAGGAGCACGGCGTGGGGTTTGCAGCACCGCGTCACGGGAATGTGGTGTGGGGTTTGCAGCAGGAGCATGGCGTGAGGTTTGTAGCACCGCGTCACGGGAGCGTGGCACAAGGTTTGCAGCAGGAGTGTGGCGTGGGTTTGCAGCACCTGTCGCAGGAGCATGGCGCGGGGTTTGCAGGAGGAGCGTGGCGTGGGGTTTGCAGCACCCCATTGCAGGAGCATGGCGCGGGGTTTGTAGTGCCGCATCAGAGGAGCATGGCACGGGGTTTGTAGCACCATGTCGCAGGAGCGTGGCGTGGGGTTTGCAGCACCGCGTCACGGGAACATGGCATGGGGTTTGCAGCCCCCCATCGCAGCAGTGTGGCGTGGGGTTTGCAGCACCACATCCCTTCTGGGTGATCAAAGCCCGTTCCGGCGGAGAATAAATGTCAGTCTCGAAATGAGCTGTACTTGGCTGCGAGCAGAGGTGATGCTCAGGTGGGGGAAACCCTGGCAACTACAGAAATTAAATTTTAAAAACTTCCCTTAGCCTGAAATGCAAAAAGCCGAGGAGCGGCCCCCGGGGTGGCGTGGCCGGGGCAGGCTCTGCCAGCGGCTGTCGCGCTGCCAGCAGCCTCTGTGCAAGGGGGGCATCTAGCGGCTGCTGTGGCTCTCTGTCCCCAGGTCCCTGGGACAAGGGGAAAGCCAAGGCTGAGCTTGAGCTGTAGGCTGGGCCGGGGAAAGCCCAGCTGGGCTGCTCAGCCGTGAAGGAGGGGAGTATGTATTGGGTACAGCTCCATAAACAGCGGTGCGGTACTGGCGCTGGGATAGTATGGTACCAGCTGTGAGGTGGCCGGTACTGGTGTCAGCCGCTGTGGCGAGTGCCCCCGTTTTAAGGGCATCTCTGACTGATGGAAGTTTTCTAGCACTGGTGAGCCATAGCCATCCTGCACAGGTATGGGAGGGCTGCGCTTGTGGGCTGTGTCCCGCGCAGAGTGTGCACCGGCTAAAAAAAAGAGACGCAAAAAG